TCATCAATTCCTCCTCCAACCCTCGAGGAAAATGTCAGACACAAGGGATGGTATCACTCCCTAGCTTCAGGTTCCCCACAGGCTTCCCATCACTCCAACAAATAATTTCAAGCTCTAATAAAGTCTTTTAGACCTTGACAGGATCTGGGATCTGCCTTCTTGACTTTTCCTGTCTTCATTACTTGGTCTTTCAGTTCTGTAAACTAGTCCCTGCCTGGAGGCTGTTGCCTTTGTTCTTCCTCCTAGGCAGAAACATATTCACATGGCCACATGTCACTTTCTCCTCATTAAAGCCTAATTCACATGTCATCTCTTCCTGACCACCATGGCAGCAGCCATCCCAACCACCTTTTAACAGAACATTACATTTCGTCTTCTGAACTCAATTTAGTACACCAATTTGCTAATTACTCATTTACATGACCACCTCTCCCCTGTTCTACTATACTTCCAAGCATTCTAGTACAGCAAGTAACAGGCTAGCAGCTGGCTGACAAAAGTCAGCAGAAACAGAATGAGAATGGAAAAGCAAAAGCAAGCCAATTTCATTAGTGATGACGGCAAGTTCATACATACAGAGGTAGAGAGAAATCTAAGGGGCTGCTAGGATACATGAAAATCCTTTTTCTATTAACAATGTAAAAAATGGAAATCCTAAAGGTTTCCCAATGTATTCAAAATTTATTAACCTAAGCTTGTTATGTTCACACCATCACAGTGTACAAAAGTGTGTATAAACAGTGCAGTTTTGTATGAGATCATGGCCTCCCAACTGCCAGCCACATACATCAGAATTAGGGGTTCTGATCACCTTTACAGCCTGATAAGACCGCATCTCAAATTCTGGATTTTCAATTGAAGTACTTCTGCCTTAAGGTGCTTCTCACCTCATGAACTTATGGTTTCTATATATTTGGAGAATTAACTTTTTAAAAACTAAAAAGCAGCATCAAAAATGTTTTAGGCTGATAGATTAAAAAATGGAATATGGCTATGGACAGACACAGAGGAAAGGGGAAGAAGCAAGAGTAGATCCAAGGATGCCAGGTGAACACCTTGTCTGCCTCCTGGGCTTTCTCTTCAACTGTCCGTGTTGCTGCCATCTGATGCTTCTCCTTCATGGACAAAATATCCTTGAAAAGATGTTCTCCTTTTCTCTATTGTTTTAAACAATAGACATAATCAACAAATAAAACACATACATCACATCTATAGCAACACAAACAGAAAACAAACTGGGTAAAGTGGCACGTGAGGGGAGACCCAAGTCATAGTGTGTCAGTTACTGTTTCTCCAGAAAACACAACACTCTAGAGTGACTGCTGACATAGCCATTGTTATTTTCAGATTTACTGAAAATAACAAAGTTGAAAATCTGAAAATAACAAAGTTACACACAACTTCCTAAGACCGCACCATGGTACTGTAAATCTTAATATTTTCAAGACTTCTGTTTTTAGTTTATCTACTGTTTTTGCTTATCTGTTCTTAAGGAGCTATTTTCCTTTCACTGTCCCAAATTAGAAATTTAAAGCAATTAACAGTTTGTGCTTTTTAAGAAAAGGTGAATAAAACAGCATGAATTAAATGCCTACAATTGGCAACAGTTAAGTCAGACTAGATGCTGAATTTGATGAGAAAGACGTAAGACAGGAAAGATGAAATTGTAGGGTGAAACCTTTATACACTTTTTATGACTGCATTTTAAAAGTATAATTAATTACTGTCTCTTCAAGTACAATGAATGTGCCATGGAAGTTCTTGGTTGATAATAGGAGGGATTTTGGAGCACCAAAAAGAAACAGAGGTAGATGAGAATGAATGAAGTATTTTGAGGCTATATTCTAAAGGCAATTCTTACAGTAGTGGTAGGAAGAAGTCATGGAAAGAAAAAGGATGCGTTTGAAGAACTGCTACGGTTGAAAATGTTCTTTAAAAATCAGGCTACACTTCATGCATAGAAAGTTTCAGTATTAAGATACACGATATGATATTCTACAGTTTTCAACAGGGCTCAGTCTCCAAAGTTAAATTTAACTCATTTTCTTCACAGTAATTACCTAAAGCTGTTCTAAATAGAGCCTGAGTTCCTACATCCCTTACATCATTAAGTAAACACTCTTATTTCAGAAGTCCATACCTGAAAACTTAAGAAATACCATATTAAGTCAGTTTCTAAGTCATCCTACATAACAATTCATTGCTACTTAGTTTAGTAAAGCAGTAAAATCATTTTGAAACAACATTAAAAGTACTTTGAAATTTATACAACTTTCTCAAAAACCAGGTCAATGTGTATTACAATGTTAATATTTAGTATTTAAAAATTGGTTAGCAAACTTAAAAAAAAAATTGGGGACATTTTGTAACTTCCTGAGAATGTACACTGAATAGACCAGCACACTGAGTTTTAACCAAACAATCAACAAACAGCTAGCAACATACCCCTTGTGTCTGTAGAGACAGAGGTGTGATGCGGCGTTTTTCCCATTCATTAGGGCGTGGCTCAGGTGTAGATTCCATAAAATTGCGCTTCAGCTCACTAATGCTAGCCTGATGTCTCAGTATGTCCTCCTGGGCCTTATCCAGGTCCTAGCAGTATGTAACGTAATAAAGGGGGAAATCCAAAAGAAAAAAACCCAGTAGGACAAAAAATAAAATAAAGACAAAAAAAAAAAAAAAACCAGCGAATTTATATTTAAAAAAAAAACATACTAAAGCAAGAAAAATGCCAAGTCTCAAAAGCCATAAAATTTACCTATAAACAACCTTAACAAATGCATCACAACTTGAAAATAAAGCCAATATGAAACTTTTTTTGATCACAGCTTTTGATTCTAATTTAGTTTTTAAATAATATTTACACTATTACAGGGAAGATTTTTTATATTAAGTTCCATGATTTTTCATATGAATTTGAAATGCAACCTATGATTTTGTTCCTGCAAGTTTACCTTTCTGAATAGAGCTACTATTCAAATTTCATTCTGGGAATATAGTCAAAATAGAGAAAGGCAGACTCAGAATCACATTTGCCTGAAGGAAAGACCAGTGTAGGACCATCCAAAACAAAACAAAACAAAAAAAACAAGGACTGACTTTTTTCAGGATATTCCAGGTGTCTTCAGTCCTTAAGGAGTAAAAATAATGGCTTTCCAGGGGCTGTGTCTGTTTGGTCTCTCTTTAAAAATTAGTGAACCACATGCAGGTTTCATGTACTTGCCAAGCACAAATGTGGGTCCCAGTCACCTAAATATTAAATGGTCCTCATACAAAGATACAACTACCAGGTTGATTTTCAGTGGAGCAGAACTTAATAAATGATGGTATTTGTGGGATATTTTAGATTGCCCTAGTAAATAGTAGCTGTAGATATAAAATGCATTCAGAGTTCAGTAAGTGGTTTTAACTGAATTTGCCATGTTTCTTATGTTTTAAAAATCATAGGGGCCACCTATGGATTACATAGCTTCCATCCCACTCCCAGAGGAACAGGGCATGCATCTGATGAAATTAGATATTCCATATTCATGCACAAGCATAGTAGCTCACGTGTGAGCTTCTATAGCCATTTGCAAAAACTTACAAAAATCTAAAAATCTTTGCATGGCATGGAAAAACTACCGTGGCTTGAGATCAGGCACATTTCTTGCATTTGTTCAAAGCAATGTTATGTATTACACTTAGAGCATTTTAGTAAGTTATGCTAAAATACATTTCCAAGTTATCAAAGCTGCCAAAAGCAACCAAACAAATTAGTCAGATTACTGAGAACTACAGTTCTCCACAGTACACACTGTGCCAAATAAGAGCCTAAAATAAGAAGGGAGAGGGACGGGAATTGTTCTCATGTGACACGGGGAATATATTCCTAATTGAATGCTAGGTTTATGGTGGTTTTTTTTCTCCTTTCTCTTGTTACTCGTGTTTTTTAAACAAAGCAATCCCATTCATCAGTATACTCTCCAACTGTATACTCTAATAGTATACAATTCCTAACTGCATGGATTTCAGCACCCCTAACTGCCATCCCCAAATTGTGGTACAGATTAAGAACCAAGTGACTTAATGCCAGAACAAATTATCTGTCCTGGTTAAATGTATAGTAAGGACTGGATCGTAGTACTTCAGATTCCATGCTCTGGAGAGAACTCATTAGAATACAATAGATTTACTTGCAGAACAACTTCAAGATCAATAGATACAAACTGTTCATTTGATATAGAATGTTTTCTTCCCAGCTGTCACTTTGAGAACTACTGGTGGACATATTCCTACCTAAATCACTTTACAAGAACACAGTCGGACTGGTTACATGCACTCCCGAACTGATTTCCCCCATGCATCTCATGCACTGTGCTTGGAGAAAGTCGTCAGCCAGCCTGTGCGTGACCTCCCGTCCACAGCAGCCTGGCAGCCATGAGGGCAGTTGCTTGCTTAAATTATACAAACCTCCAACATTAAATTGCTATGTCTGACATAAATATTATCCCCTTCTACTCTCAAGGAATTTTTCTGTGAAATTAAATCACACACAGGGAAAAGGCAAATAAACATTAAGTGTATCAATCAGCAAGCACCAGCAATGACTGAGTTTGGATAGTCTAAGACATTAAAACAAAACATGAATGAAAGTCTTAAGAACCTAGAGGCCACAACAAGCACAATTCATAAGTAAAGACTAAGCATTTATCATCCCTAACACAATCGCAGGCAGCAGCCACTAGATATGTAACTTTGGGGGAAAAAATATCCACCTCCTCCAGCTGTGCTTCCTCTTCTTCCATCTTCGCCTGAAGGATTGCATGGCCAACAGTAAGAAGGGGAGGATTAGTAGCAACTCTACCATCAGGGCAAGGAGGTTGTATTTGAATTTAAACAATGAACCAGCATTACCAACCTTTGTTTGTCTCTCAGAAAAATGCAGAATATAAAGCCACTTTGGTCTTTCTTCACCTACAGTGTTGTACAGATGAGGGACATGATCCATTGCAAAGGTGGAATGGAGAATGGAAGCTTCACTCTTTCTCTCAGTCCCTAAGTTATGTACTGTTTTTGAATTTTTTTTTTAACTCAGGAATGAAAATGTGAGAGTGTAAAAATGACATAATTCAATCTATTGAATATGAAATACCTAGATCAGCTAATGACCAGTATAAAGCATAGTGATGTAAAGTCTGGTGTTAGCCTTATTTATGTCAGGGGCAAATGTTCACCCATTACTTAATTATTTAGCATAAATTTCTTCTCTCGGGGAAAATTGGTCTCTTTCTATGTTAAAATGGTACTTTTAAAATATTCTTTGAAATACAGCCACTGTTTCCTTTATAAACTCTTTAAGTAGGAGTAGTTGTTCAGAGTTGGTCAATTCTCAGAAACTAATAACAAAAGAATCAATTTGTAGGTTTAACAATGACATAAAGGTTGACTGGCTACTGAACCCAAGGAAAGGAACTTAGGAAGGAAAAAAAAAAAAGTGATTCTCATACAGAAGGAAAATAGTTTAACTTTTAACTATAGCAGGATTAGATGTCCTGTTTTTTTGTTACTGGAGATAAAGAGTGTTAACTCTGAGAGTTCAACTTTTTAAAAAATCATTCTAATATTTTTAAGTAAGCAGGTAGCTTAAAATATTTTATCAGCGTGGAAAGTCAATTCAGAATCTACTAAGAATCCTCTTCCAATTCCATGGTCAAGTCTTAACTCTAACATGTCCAACTCGGGCAGCCCCCTGGCAACCTTTAAGACTCATGGTCTCACGCAATGCCTAGTCATACCATTATTTTCACATTTTTTTCTTTAGATTTCCTTTGAATTTTGTGATTTATGTTACTGATAATACCCACAGGATATGAGACACTAAGTCACCAGACCACATTCAGCCAAACAATCAAAAACCCTTCTGCACGTGTAGCACAGAATTAGTTGTGCAGAGGAAGTCCTACATAGGGTAAAAATTCTTAACTTGGACATCCAATTTTAAATGGAAGAGCACTAAAAGGGCCAACCTTAGGACTAAATATTCTAAAGTTACAAAAACTTGTTTTTTGCAGACATTTTTAAAGACAAAATAGTACTTTCCTTAAAAATACTTGACAGTGACTTTTTTAATATAATTATGCTTTAGTTAAAAAATACTTCCTGGTATTTAACTAGTTCCCAAATGTTACAATAATATGAAACAAAGAGTTTGAGATTACATACCCAAGAGTAAAGATTACTGATGCATCCTCATCAATGCAAAAACAAGCTTGGTTTTCTAGCAAGAGATTTAACAATACTAAGGAGTTCTACTACTACACATTATTTACAGTTATGTCCACTGCATCTTAAGTTCTATACTGAAACAAGTTTCCATCCTAAAATAACATTAATATTGGTCCACAAAATAGGCTCCATATAGATCATTCATGGGGAAACAGAGTCCCTTCTCCTTTGACTTAGTATGTTCTAGATATTTCTAAAATAATCCTGTAACTTTGTCCTCAACTTAGCATGTGTGGAACTGGGCAGTAGGTATCAACGACAGGGAGGTACTCACACTTCTTTTTCATGCACTAAAATGTTGTGTGTGTGCGCAAATGTGTAGACCAAACTAGTAGGCAGGCAATCAGTATTGAAATTTATGCACATGTTTACACTCTACATTAGAAACCATATAAGATGGAGAATAGTTTTGTGGACCCCGTAAATTGTAGCTTATGTAAGAGTACCAGCAATGGCTTCCTCTTCCTCTGTTTTGTCATTCCCGTCGCTGTCATAAGAGGCATTAAAGGAAGTGGCTTTCGCCTCCAGATAGCAGAGGGATAGAGCCAGAGGAAGGGAGAAAGTGAGAGAAAAAGGCACTGACTGAGAAGCAGAGAGTAGTAGCCCAAAGATGAGGATGAGGGAAGGAAGGAACGAAGGGGAGGTGATAGGAACATAATGCTGGACATCAGCGGGGAGGAAGGAGATCCAGACCTTGGGGAGGCTGGGGAAAGCAAGATACCCATCTTCATCTAGAAGTGAGGGAAAGCTGGAGGGAAAGCACTTGCAGAAACTGAAGGGAACGTGCCCACATTCAGACTCTTTACAGTCAGCCTCTTTTAGAGGTGCCTTGGGGGTAGGGAGGCATTCGGGCTGAGCAGGCGCTTCCACAGCATCTGGGACAGAATCAGGGGCAGTGACTTCGCTGTCACCCTGCTCTGATGTTTTGCCAGTAGAAAGGAGCTCCAAGCTGTCTACTGTGATCTGGTCAGCCTCCCCAAAGGGGTCTTCCTCTGAAATGTCTGAAAGCAAGTCCACTTCAGGGAGTGGCAACAGGTTTGGAGAAAGAAATGAAGCACAGCGGATGAGTGGCGAAGGTGGGCACATGGAAAAGGGCTGTTCTCAAGAACAAACCCACAAATGAACGTGAAATGGCACCATGGATACATTCAAAGGCAGGGAAGAGGAGAGAAGAAAATTGGATAGTTAGTGAAAACTTTACTCCTAAGTAAGGGATCATATTAACACAATGTAGTGAGAAAATGAATTAAAAGAGCCATTTTTAAGGAGAAAAACTGGATGATTTTTATCACATAAAATGTATAGTATATTTAATCACTGTTTTCCAACTGGTTGCAAATATCTGATGAAATTCAAATCGATCATCATTTCTCAATCTCATTGCCAGCAAGGAGTCAGCATACCCAGTCATTCGCTGGCACTAAGCAGAATTCCCTTTGGAATTTCCAAGAACTCAAAAAAGGGAAAAAACAAAACTAAACTAAATCCATCAAATTAATGAGGTAAAATGTAACAGACTTTCTGAAATGCTGAGTTCTTCAGTTCCCAAGTAAGTGGTCACTTGCATGATTTTGACAACTTTTCAGCAGTTGAAGGGTATCTTCTTAGACACAATTTTTGCCATTTTAAAATAATTTTCAGCCCAATTTTTTATACTATATTCATAAATCCTTTAGCAAGGGACTGCAGATAGTTTGAGGTGTGAGCTGCCAGAGGCCAGAGGCCCCAGGGGGCCAGGTCTCCCCTTTGTGCCCAAGTGTAGACAGCCAGCAGGGAAGGAATTCCTGGGCTCAGCAGCTGCTGCACCAGCAGGTTCTCATATGTCCAGCCGCGTGTCTTCCAATTTTTCAAAATAATTAGAAAACATTTAAAATCTATAGGATGATTTCACTTGTTTTTCCATGTTGACTTCCAAAGTTATCCTTTAAGAAGTTGCTTTATAAAGATATGTAAAAGAGATCGGAAGAGCTCAAAGCCTCTTCAGACAAACCTCCAACTGGCTTTACTTGACCAAAGTAATGCAGTGACACAAAGTAAGTGACAAATTTAAAAATACAATGTAGGTTATTTTCCAAAAGAATCTGTACCAAATGAGGCTGAAAGCAACGCACCATTTTCGCACTGTTCAAAAATAATTACCCTGTGCTAAGAATTTATCAGTTACAGAGTACTGATGAAAATTTTTTTCATCTTTGTTCATTTCAAACTTTCAAGTCAACATAATTAAAATAATCAAGCTATATTATACTAAAAATGTACCTGTAACAAAGCAAATATAAATTTCAACTCAGCAAGGTTTTATAATTTACAACTTTATTAAACAGAACAACTGTGAAAACATTAAAAAATCCAGTAGGTTACTTACGTGATTAATATAATTCATGTTGAAATATTTCACTTTGTATACAATCGAAAAAAAGGTTAGAGAACCTGTCTACATCAGCAAGAATCTACAAATATTTGAAAATTGTGAAATTAAATCAACAGAACATAAAATGATTAATTTTAAATGATATTTGAGTTCTGAAGACAAGTGCCACCAACAGATTCTCAACCAAGTACAGTCATAAAATCTCACATTCTGCTCTTTTACCTTACCTTTCCTTCAATGAGTTGCATGTGTGGGGCTTTCACTGGACTTCTGAGGTCCCTTCTGCCATCCCCATCTTGTACCATGGCAGCGGTGACCCCTCCAGGGCCATGGGCTGAAACCTCACCAGCAGGGCCACGAAAATCCTTCACAAGACATTGGTCCACGACACCAACTGGAACTATTAAAGAGTCATCACTGGTCACGCAAATAGAACAACTTCATGGAACTTTCCCTTACCCAGATAAACAGCCAGCACGAAGTCAGTCAACAGAACAGACACTGCTTCAGTTCTGAAGTTATAAACATATGAAATAAACTCATTTTTAAACATTTAACAAATTCTAATAATAATCTGAAGTTTTATCTATTGGACTACAAAGAGATCTCAATTCACAGATTTCTGAAGGATATAACTTGATCTTGGAATTTGCCAGTAGGAGGAGCTCCAAGACCAGTGGAAAGACAGAATTCCGGAACTGTCAGCATTAGGATAGGCAATATTTGAATTCTCTGTGGTCTCTTTAAATCCTTCCTGAACTTATTTCTGAATCTATTTAGCAATTAACTATCAAGTTATAGAAATCATTTGCTTCAATAAAGTTTACAGAATTCCTTCATGAAGAAACCCATTTGAATACCAAAATTAGAACATGATAGAAAAGGTAGATTTTAAAGAATTAACTTTGGATTATGTAGAGTATTTTCATTTTTGTAACCTCCTTCCTGAATGACTTGACTTAATCTATCTAATACAAATCTAATACACATCAATCCATTGTAAGAAATCTCTTGATCTCCTCCTCCCCTTCATGGGCCCTGTCCTTAAGTATTTCTTTCCCAGTTTTTGGTTTCTTTTTCCCAAATAACCACCCTTTCAGTACTTAGGACATAAACCTCATAGTCTCTTTGTTTTCCCCTGAACCAGCAAATTTAATACAGTTCTTGAATGTATTTCCAAATGTGGCCAGCTCCTCCCCTTCCTCTATTATTCCTCAGGCCCATTTATGATTTTCATAGCCCTTAGTACTCACACTTTTGAAAGGCTACACCAAACCATGTAAAACATTAAGACGAATTCACATTAAACAAAATTATTTTCTAGGCTTCTGAACTTTTGAGATTTTAATAATTTTCCCAGCTATGAGTATGTCATTAATATATGGTGATGGTTTGTTTCCAAGCACCCATTGGACACACTAAGAAATTACTGCAAAATGAAAAAACTCTGACCTGATTTCAAATGTAAATGGATCAAAATTTTAATTTAATGTGTATCAAATTTAAAGTTGTTATATGGTGAAGTTGACAGCAGCTGCCACTGATATTTATAAAGAATAGTTTGTGTTTTATGAGTTTTCTTAACTTTGTATTTTGGTGTCAATTTTTTTCAGGTCTTAAAAACAGTTGTAGACCCCAGGCACGGCATATGGAGCCAAATAACTAACCAGCCTACTTCCACGAGGCCAGACCACTTCACTCTCACTCAGACTACTCCTCAGAGGTCTGCCTCCTTCTTGTCTTGCCTCCTTTCATCTGACATGTTACCAAGGGATATTTTTTAAAGTAGTGCTGTGCTTCTATGCACTCTACATCCATGAGTATACACAAGTATACACGTTTACACATTTATGTATGTATGCATGCTCACGGGTACAAGCACACACATCCTTCATTGGTTTCCTACAACATACACACCTAAAACCACATTCCTCAGCAAGCACTGCAAGGCCCTGCATGACCTGCCCTCCCCACCTCTCCCAAGTCTTACTAGAAGTTCTGAGTACTGGCCTTGCTGCTGCTGAAATCAGTCAAGCTCTCCATAATTTACAGCCTTCACACCTCTTCTTCCAGCCACCTGGAATGTTTTATCTCCTGCTCCACCCATGGCTACTTCATGCATCAAATCTCAAAGTTGGCCTTCCTTCCTGATGGCCCATGAATTCCCGAAATTCATGACTTTCCTCACTCACAAATGCATCTCCACTGACAGATCTCTTAAAGTGATTGGTTTGCCTCTTTTGGGATTTGATTTCCCAATCACAGAATGTCACTATTCTACTACACAGCTGTCGTAAGGGTGATTATTATTTTGATAGCCTGTCTTAGGTATCACTCTGATTTCACTTTCCATATAGTAACTAAAAATTATGCTTAGTCTGTCAAACCTCAAAATGAGTAATATTTACATGTTTAAATTAACCTAAATTAAAAAGTAAACAGGAAAAAGAGTATAATGCATGTCAACAAAAATAAAAAGGTACATTAATGGGAAAAATAAAGTTCAGTTCCATGTTATAGCCTAGCTTTGCCTTGGGGGAAGAAAGGAAAACATAAGCTGTAACCAAATAGTTCACTGGCTATGTGGTCTTGTATTGGCATGAGAAGCCTGTTTTTTCACAAAAAAACAATCAACCTTTTGATAACTTGCCCTTCTGATGAATTACAGTGTCTCCTACAACAAAAGGAAAAATAATGGATTACTGAGCCATGTTTGTTGCTTATGCTTGTGAAAATCACAGTTTCAGATACAGACTTACTAGAACCCTCTATACTAACTGCACCTACAAGACAGCGGGTTTCCATGAACACAGTTTACATACCTCAAAGAGAATGAACAGAGCAAGTAAAGCAAGTACAGCCTGAGTTGCGAAGCTGCAGAGTTTAAAACAAAGGCTGAAAGTGTTCCAGAAAGAGAAATGATTTCTCTGAAAGCAATGAAACAACACTGACTGCATGTATTCAGCACTTGCATAAATTCTCTATGGTAAAGGGGAGAGGCTTGTGAAATATTTCTGAGTGGGTACATTTTTTAGATTTACTAGAAAAAAGCATCGTACAGTAGAAGAGTTAGTAGATACTCTGATAACTATTCTACATTAATAATTTACTAAATCTGAATCACTACATTTGGGAATGTGGACATCTGCTTGAATCTGTTAATGCTTCCCTTGCATACTTTTAATGCATTCTCATAAAACTATATGGAAGAGTCTCCAGAATCAAGATGAAAAACTGCATACACAAAAATGCCCACTAGTGACTCCTTGGAAGTATCTGCACATGTTCAGATAGGTCTGCTTCCAAGTTTATTCCAGCAAAAAAGATCAAGGCCAAAGGGTTTCAACCCTTCACAAACCAAGAAATGTTTTTATCCACTAGCATATCTGGTCTGCTTTAGCTGATTATTTAAAATATAAATTGTTAAATTTCAAATTTCAGAAAGATAACAATAAGTAATCAAAAAAGATTTTTCCCTATCAGTAATAGTACAATAGAAATTTTCAAATGTAAATCACTATTTTTATAGCTATGCTTGGAACTTAAGCAACCAAAACAATGTTGAAAAACTACTGACAGAAACCCAGGCATCTTAAAAATCAAGTCCTTCAATAAAACATTCTAATATAAAACAAACCTTAGTTTTTATATAAAACCTGCTATTAACCCAAAAATAGACTAAGACTACATGTACAAAGGAAACAACATCAATATACTTTCATGTATAGTTTATATAAAATTACAAATACGTTCATATCTATTTACTTTGGATGAAAAGGCAAGTGAACATATATTTCCTTTTTTGTTGTTAAAACATTGTACTTAAACTAAACCCTGAGAAACTATAGTTTTCATATAATAGAAAGTTTGGTACATTTGCAGCTTTGTTTTGCATAAAGTACAAACTGTGGACTTAAAGAATTTTTAAACTCATAAAATCTTGATGAAGCTATGAACATTTTACATTAACTTTGAATAAAAGTTCAGTTATCACACCACCAACCCTTAAAATTACATGTTTGCCATTAATTAACTCAAGTAATTAAATCATGTACATCACAATTAAGTCAGACTAGTAGAAATATGTTTATCATATAACCACTGAGAAACCTTCATATTTGTAGGCATTGATAGTATAGAGAAAATTCAGGTTCAGAATGACAATTTCAAAATACTACAGAATTATTTTCTCGTTAGTATAAGCAATAGCGCTTCATTTACTCGGGAAAAAAAAATTGCTACACCTCTAGGATACTTTTGGAGGCCATATCAACTAGATCAACATTTTTGATCCCAACATTTTCTAATCAGAAAATGTCTGATCACCATTTTTTTGATTAGAGAAACATTAATGGAATCCAAAATCATAATAAATGTGCTTACCTCCATCTACACCCCTGGAGACCCGTTTACTGGAGGTCCGCTCAAAATGTGGGGCTGGTCTGTCAATGAGGGTGCTGGCCTGGCGAGTCTGGGCCTGGGTACGGCCACTGTAGCGGAATTTGGACCCCAAGGTCAGGAACTTGGCCTTTGGTGGCTGCTCTGGAGACACAAGCCTGGGGGTAGAGAGAGGTTGGGGGAGGACAAAATTACTTTATGAAATTTTTTTCTCAAAACTCCATTATTTTCATATTTCAGTTTATTAACCATGACTACTACAACAAAAACAAAAATGCTACCTAAACACTCAATGGCAGAGAACATTACTTACAAATGTTCTAATATGCAGAACTATGATAGTGATAATAAGGTGAAAAAAATCCATTATTCCTCTACTCATGAATAATGTTGCCTCAACCTGAGCAAAAGAACAGCTGTTCTTGGTGTGTATCAAAGGCTATTTATTTATTTGTATTAACTTAAATCATTTATATAAACACATGACTGAATTCTTGCCCATAGCTATAAGTGCCAAGTAGCAATCCACTACCATTAGTAATTCTTAATATTTATGTCTATTTCTCCTGGGAAAGATCATCTAACTCAGGAATCTGTTCCATCAAGCAGGAAAACAGAGCACTGTGGCTCTGCGAGATGACTAACATCCTTTCTTGCCAGCATAATTCTGCTTTAATCCTGGGTTCATAATGAATGAAGTCCAATTTTCTTGAAGTCAAATTCTTCCAGACTTATGCAAAAACATGTTTTTAGTAAATAAGCCAATGTTGTCTGGAGTATAAGAGAAATTGTCTCACTTTTGTTGTCCAATGAAAGTTGGCAAAAAGTCTTAACAAAACAGTAATCAAGCTCTAAGAATTTACTAAATAAGGCTTTAGTTGACAATTTCAGAATCTGGAGAACTCCACCAAAATTTTCCCTACAATTCTTGAGAGAAGTGTGATTTCCCAAGTTCTTTACCATTTGAAGCTTTTCCAAACCTTCTGTTCCATTTTTTAGGGATCTTTCTCTAAAAAGAGATTCAAGTCAAGGAAAAGCTACATATAGTCACACAAGAGGTAATACTCCATCAATTCAGGGTTCTCAAGAGCACTAAACCAAAATGTGGTAGAATTAATCTGATTAAAGAAGAACTCATATTCTCTTGCTTTCTTGGCTTTATAATCTATTCATGTAAAGTAGCAAAAGTTTTCCTGAAAACTTCCATTTTCTGCCAACATATTTCCCAAGGAGACAAAGATGATGACGCTGAGAAAGCATAGTATGATAATGGTCACCTGTACGTGGGAAAAGTTGCATATTCTTAAATTAGAATGTAGGAATTAAATTCTTATTGGTGTGCTGAATTCTCTTTAACAGTGGAGAAAACTGAAGTAATGAAAGATTAAACATCACAGCACACTGATGATGAGTAACAGCAGCAAGGTGAGAAACAGCAGCAAGGTGAGAAATGTCATCATCACTTACATGCACTGTTCTCCTGGATTTGGCACCCAGCAATCTATGTAAACACAGCCAAGGGTGCGCTATAAGGATGCTGTGCTCTATTAATCTCAGTAGTGCAATAATTAAGACATTTTTCACTGTCCTTGAAAAATATGTTGGCAAAATCATTTATTTTTATAATTTATTCATTAAATATAGATATTGGGAGATCAACCAATGGGGAAAAAATACCTACCCCTAAGGGGTATCTCAAAGGAGAAACACACTGATCACCCCAAAGGAAACCACTATTATTACACATACAGTTTTCAATTCAACAAGACAAAAGTGTTGGCAATGATCTAGAGAAACTGGACCATTTCCACAGTTAGCGGGATCTCAAATATGAAAAACCATATGGGGAAACCGTATGAACTAAAATAATCCAGCAATCCCACCTCTGGATATTTATCAAAAAGAAATTAAATCAGAATTTCAAGGCGATAGTAGCATTCCCATTTTCACTGTTCACAATAGCTATGATGTGAAAACAACTTAAATCTCCATTGGCAGATAAACAGAAAATGTGGTAAATACACAGTTGGAGGACTGTTAACCCTTGGGAAAAGGAAATTCTGCACAGACAGACCTTGAAGACACTGGGCTAGAAACACAAGCCAATTAGTCAAATTCCGAGAATCCAAGACAAGTACTGATTACCAGTGACTGAAGAGAAGGAAATGAAGATCATTAATCACCAGGCACAAAGTTTCCAAGATGAATGAACTCTAGAGATCCACTGTACAACATTAATATATTACTTACCTACAATCAACAATAATGTATTATACAGTGAACATTTCTCAAGTGGGCAAATTTTATGTTGTGATCTCACCCAATAAAAATATTTATTTGTGGCCCTCCCTGGTGGCACAGCGGGTTGAAGCACAGCACTGAGAAGCTAAAGCCACTCCGCATGAGTTCGATTCCCGCCTACCCCGGAGGTGACCACATGGCGTGGCAGACCTCTCCTGGCCCGCCCGCTGCTCCCCTTAGCAGTGTACTTCGTAGATCTGCCTGTCTGCTCCACGCTCTGTCTCTGGTGAAGCCTCTCACCGCCCCTGAGCCTCTGGCCTTTGCCCCAGTTCTGTGTGTACAAATAAATAAATCTTAAAAAATATATATTAAAAAAATATTTATTTGTAACAAGTATGGCCCTATCTCCCGAAATTATGTATAGCACGTTACCTTAATAAAAGAATTTATCTTAAAAAAGAAAAAAAGACCAGAGTAAAGAAGAATAAAACTGGGTGTTTGGCTCCCTTCTGAGCTTCATTTAACCAGAGGTCATGTCTTCCTGAAATGAGCAGCTTCATAGAGAATTACTGAAATCTCTCTCCTTTCCAATTTCAGTAACTGCTTTCACCCACACCCCACACTGTGATAACACCCCTTTAGAACTAAGAGTCTAGGGCTCAAACCCTAGTCATTAAACTACTCTCAAATTACAACAAAATTTTAAGTAGAAGCAGGATGGTTGTTATTGCAAATTATGAAAAACTGTTAAGGTTATATATGTATTATATGTATGATACAGCTATATGTAATATACATATATATATATTCTCCCCTTTCTTTACAAAATTAACATAGAAAGAAGATTAAGAGCTTTCTTATGCTTCAGAAACTAATTTTAAAGGAAATTAAGAAAATCTCAAATAGTATTGTCATCCTTTTAGATAATTTTATATAACTTTCCATAAATTTGTACTAGGTCCTACATAGTGAAAATGCTCAATAAATATAGCTGTATTCTACACTATGAATGCACCAGAGTCTGACTAACAGGAAAATCCAGGACATGTCTACATATCCAATTTTCAGAGTTCTCTTTCATGGTATTACAGTCATAGCATTTAAGAACAGCATAAATTGCAGGATTCTGAAGAAGGGAAGCTGGGCTACAGTATCACATTTGACACTAAGAACTAATACTGAATATTTTATCCTTAATTTAATACATTACACTATGACTACAAATATATCTTTTTGAAATATAATTGAGGGTTTTATTGTTTTTCCAATTATGAAAGCAGGCTCTCATTTATACATATCCAGGCAAATATCTAAGTCTAGACATCTAATTCTATGCAACCATGTCTTTAGGACAATTTGCTTTTCTGTTTGGTTATGGTCAGGTGGCTGGTTGCCATTAAATAAAGCCATTTAGCCACTTTGTAGAAAATACTTTCACAACAAGTATTAGTCTGAGAAATATGAGTAAATTATTTTAAAGGTAAATATACATCACAATGCAAAGGATAAAGTCATTAACTACATGGCTTATTTTTATCTTGCAGCTGACAGTGGTGACAGTATACACAAAGTACTAGCTTACAGGTTAATTTTCTGATGACTGAGAAATCCTTAAATAATTAAGCTGCAGTTAAATAGAAACAAATGCCAAAAATCAAAACACACACACACCGAGACAGAAACTTACTAGCTTTCTCTAAAAGAATTATTTTAGTGATGTAATATTAAAGTAAATAAATCTAAGAAATATGGACCAAGCATTAAGACATCATTTCAAGATCCCTTAATTATCTCCTTTGGATATTTTTATCTTCCAGATCACACCCTACCCTGCAAAGAATGATATCAAGACCACTAGGCACACCTGTCATTTCATGTTGGAAAATTTAAAAGCTACAATAAGAGACTAATCATTATAAAGTATTAAAAGTCTTGAGAAGATATAAGTAATGATGTGTCACAAAAGAATTCAACTTTCACATATTACATTACTTACAAAGTATATTAATGTTTTAATTTTATAAAATGTTTGTCACCAGAAATCAAATATTCACATCTACCTATGGAAAATAAAGGAACATTTAAGAAAACCCCACATATCAATTACTAAAGTCAATCTGTGTGAAGCAAAGGCACTTGGAATTCCTCTAGATCTACAATGCCAAGTCTAAATGGCAGTTTAATGTCATTAAAAGGACCTCATATTAATCTTGTTTACACACGACCAACACCAAGGGAGAAAGACATTAAGAAAAGGCAGGGAAGTAGATCCTGCAGACACAACTGGAAAGCACAGCCAGTGGGACACTTGTGGGTGCCAGGAGCCACACCATCTGGATTTGAATTCCCGCTCCACCTCTTACTGTATGACCGCGAGCAAGTTTAACTTCTATGTTTTTCAGCTTCTCCATTCATAAAATAAATGAAGATAACAGCACTTGCGCCATAAGATTTGTGATGACCAACAGAATTAATCTACACACAGCACTTAAACTGGTGATGAGCTCCAGCATAGGTAGCAAATTATGATGTTCTTGTTCCACTGACACCAGTCCCACTGGGCAGTCAATACAAAGATCAGGTTTTTTTTCTTTTTCTTGTGTGTGTGTATGTCTAATGGCTCCAATCTAAAGAGTCATTTTAATATTCTACATAAACCAACAGCCTCTTTGGTGATAAACATTATAACAGAATAAAATCCATTAATTCAAAGCACTCTGCTGAGAAATGATTTGCCCTTTCTGCATTACATATATATTTTATATCATTTGTAAATAAAGTTCACAAGGCCTAAAGATCTAAAAATGCTTCTGGTTAACCATTAGCTCCAAAGTGTGCAGGAACAAAGGTCTACTTTTAAATTGAAGTCATGCTGTATTACCAAAAATGATGGAGGGACCTGTGGCTTTGCAGGGCTATCAGATACCTGAGAAACACCTGCTAGCAGCAGCAAGCTCAATGACAGCATACATGTGAAGGAGTGGGCTTGATAATCAGACAGCTTGGAGTCCACCTCTGCTTACAGGCTCCTGGGCCCAAGTCACAGAGATGAATGGGATGGTACAAAGTAAAGCAATCAGGTCTGTGCCTGGCAACCATGGTAGCACCTGTCATTTGTGAAGTGATTATACTTATTTGACAGGAAGATTGCTGTCTGTGCTGCCTAAGTTATTTAACTCAGACACATGATATACTAGTCCTTTTGAGGCATACTCATAATACCTTAGGAAGAAATTTGTTCTGGCTAGTTGTAAACTTTCAGACTTACATGATTGGTGTAATAAAGAATGGTTCAAGTAAATTTTCGCCTCTAAACAAAATATATTAAAGTAGTTTTGAAAATAGCCATTTGTCAATTTAACTCAAAGGAGTCATTTGTAACAGCTGATAATTCATCTTAAAAATGGCACACTTTGGTACCAACCTAATAAGGATGATAAATATTATCTACCAGCAATGGCTCTGAATTTGTTTTATGTGTGTTATTTATTTACTTACCAAAACTACCCTGTAAAGACAGATACTATTGTCACCATCATGTGGACAGTGAGGCTGATGACTTACCCACAGTCACACCCAGGTGTATAGGATTAGCCCGAGAGCCCAGAGCAAGAGTCTTAGAGATGACGCTTCTACAGATGCCGAGCTCCATAGATACTACAATGCTAAGAAAGACCAGCAAAGTACTCGTATGAGCAATTATGCCCTTGAAGAACAAAAGGAGACAGACCCAGGCAAAGACAGCCTGAAGACCTAAGGAAAAATTTCTGGTTTGGGGGTTTTAAAGAAGCAAAACATGGACATATTTACTGACCAAAGAGGACGACCAAGGCAAACACCACTACAAAGTATAAGATTCACCAAGCAAGTTCCTCAGTACAGCATGTGATGAGGATCAAGGAACAATATCAGTTCTCTCCCTTGAGACAGGAGAGATGGAAAGAATAAAAGGGGAGAGCAAGGGATAGTGCTGCTATTATGGGTAAAGAAAGGTGATGATGTTTGAAATCGCAAATGGTCATAACCCAAAGCTTCTGCTACCAATACACATCTCCAAGGAAGATATCCGAACAGGCAGGCAGGGTAACCCGGAGCTTAAAAGGACCATAAATAATTGAGAAGAGGATGTAAGATGACAGATTGCCTGGTACCATGAGGATCTGGTAGACGTGCAATTTTGTCTTATAAAGAATTAAGTGAATGAATCATGATAGTTGTGGTACTTCAGGTGGTACTTGGCAGCACAGGTACAGAAGTGGTGAGGGTTGGGGGGGTAGGGGGGGCTGTGCTGAACAAACTGAGGGCCAGTGAACTACAGGCCATGTGCAAAAAAGGACAGAGATTTGACAGTAGAATGTGCCGCCCAACTAAGCAAAATGACGGCCAGCCCACAGGGTTCAGGCTGGCTCGGGAGAGAAATTAAGCAGGAGAGAAGCAGGTAAAAAAAACTAAGTGAAACCAGAGATGAGTGGTGGCAGGAAGAAGAGGGGCAGCAGGGCCGGGAGTAGGTGGTGGCTGAAAGGTAGCTGTGGTCAAAGTAGCGTCTGGACCATGACAACGCATGGCTGGGGCAACAGAAATGGATATGGGAATGGTCACAGGCAAAGGAGACTTGACGCTGAGAGCAAAGCAAAGCGTCACCACCTCTGCCACACTCTCCACTAGCAACTCTAATGTGGAGAAGGCCCCAGTAGCCACCACACCAGCTGCTTTCTTGCAATTACCTGTAGAAAGTGTGATGCTCCACGCACACTTTCCATAGCCTTTTCGCTGCCCGATGGTTTGCCAGTTTGAATCCAATGGTGCTCTCAAACTGTTCCAGCTAAAATAAAATCCATAAAATGGGTCAGCCTCTTTCTTTAAGAGTTTATTAGAAACTACTGAAAAAAAAAACAGATTAAATCTTTCTGTAAGAAGTAATTCTTCTTGAAAAAGGTAACTATTTCCACATTTTACATAATTCTGCAAGATGAATCTCACAAGATGGTATTACTAGTTTCTATGAAATGCAATCATCAATATTGACATAAAACAACCATCCCTCAATAGACAGGCGCTGAAACTCACTGTACCATGTCCTTATTAATCTCTAGGACTTAAATGATTCAACAGCAACAACAAAACAATTCCTCAGTGTGGCTGGCATGACTACTCTTTCTTTTCCCGAAGGGCATAGCTCTTATGTTAGTTTTTGACCATAGGGAAATGATACAGCTTTATCATCAAGAATACTGACCTTTTTAGCCATAGAAAAATAAAGAATAGTTCATTTTCTTGAAATTCCGTAGGAAAAGTTCAATCAGCCAGTGCCACAGAGAAAACTGAAGTTGATGATTATATTGCCAGGGGCCACCTGACTTTGCTTACCTCTGCTGGCCTCACTTTAATGTAGAAGTTGCTGCGCTTATAGGAAATTTTCAAGATTTTTGGCCAAGCAAAGCGATTGATTCTCAGTCTGTCTTTGTAAATGAGAAGCCCGTTAGCACACACACCCAGCTTGATGTCCACGCCTTCTGAGTCCTGCCAAGCATAAAGCCATTTGAGCATGGTTAGAGCTGTGAAGATTACGTAGATCAGGAAGCAAATTATCCCTCCTGAACCATGACCAAAAAGGCCAACTGAAAAGGTGAGCATTTAAATTTCTGTGACAGACAGACGGTAACAGAAAGAATAGGACACACCACACATTTTCAATGGGTTCATCTGCAGGAATCAGATCTGATTTTCCCAGGAGCTATACTGAACATGGCTACAGGTACTCTATGTTTCAAAGGGCATAAATCATACTATCTCACGACAACTATAAAAGCTAGAGGAGAATAAAGGAACAGAACTTCAGTGGTCCTGAAGACTGGGAGGTAAAATATGTTTTCCTGGAAGCTATTCCAGCCATTAGGATGGTCTGTCAGCCTCCAAAGGTGTGTTTAGCCATTTTACTTTAGGCAAATTTACTTACGATGTATTAAGGTAGCTAACAGCTGTTAAAATTATGCCTGTATTCTGCAAAGCACCTATCCCTCACAGAAAATTTCCCTTCAGAATCTTTGAATTATTTCAAGCAGTTTCCCAATAACTCAGAGCGCTGACATCCAGCTAGCATTACAGCTATTCCTTAATTAGCTTGTTTCAAAGGCTCTCAGACAAGCTTCAACTTACTGATACTGTTTTCTTTCCCTAGTGTTTAAATTTAGAATAGACAGTAATCTAGAAAATCACAAGTCTGAAAGACCTTTTTTAAAAGTGAAAAACTGCCTTCTCACATTTCAAGTAGTGAAGAGGATCCAATATATACAACATTTCAAACATGTAAATCATTGCTTATTTTTCAAGGAAGAACTGGATCTCATTCATGATATGTAAAAATTGAACAATACTATTCAAAAATATTCCACGGATATTTTGGAAATCATTAACTTGAAACAAATTCTCACAAAAATTGTTTAGTTCGCAATTCAATAAAAGTGTGATGTCTCAAATATCTTGCTCCTGAAAATAATCTAATACAATCTGCCTTTAACATCACATTTTTAAAATAGAAGTGTAGTACTAAGAAAGTGATACCAAGAGAACTGCTTTCTCTGCTGAGATATCTGAGTAATTCATAGATACAAACAAAATTGTATTTTAGACACTGTAAGCAGCTTTAAAAATCAAATCCAAGGGTAGTTTTATTCACCCATGTCCTGGCAGCCATAATTCTCTCTAGGAACAGAGGGAAAAGTCTGTGGCGAATCAGGCACAGGTGTCCAAGCAACCTGGCACCAGACACAGATGGCATGTTTGCCGAAAACATCAGCGGCCATGGCCACAGGGAGCAGCCGGAAGGTTGCCCAAGAAAGCAGGTTCTCCCACAATTAAAGGCAGCCCTCACTGGAGACAATAAACAAAGTTATCTGTAGTCTGAAACAATCTTCACAGAGCACACTGAAGTTATTTTATCTGACTAAATAAAAAACAATCTGAATTCATTTAAATCAGCTGATTTACAGTTCTGTAAAGTGCTTTAGAATTATCAGTATTTGAGTAAACAGGAATTACATAGGATAAGATGTAAAAGTGGGGGAAGCATGCCTTCACCCTCCATTTAATTTCTACGATCTAGCAACAAAGAAGTAAAAGTTAATAAAAGTAAGTATTTTCTGTTCTGCCATTGTCCAGGTAGCTGTCCCATATGGTATCAAAAGGACCTCATGCTCACTGACTTCCAAAATGGGCTCAACCTCTGGAAAGTTCTTTAAGAGGAGTAGAAAAGAAAGGAGTTCATGTGCTTAAAACCCAGATTTTGTCTGTCACCCAAGGCTGGCTGTGTCCCTGACAACGTGCACCTCTCCACACAGACTTCTCCTGAGCTCCAGCTCCCACTCTGTTCTCACCCCTTCAGACTCGGGGGTAGAAGTAAACTGCTGTTCTTTGTGCAGAGATATCAGCTTATTCTAGCAGTTGTCCTGTGCCTTTGCCAAGAACCCTTGGATTCAAGATCCTTCAACCTGTCCTAATGTGAGTTTGCTAATAAGAACTCTTGATAATAAAATATTAACAAAATGTATAAATACAGGCACAAAACTTCAAGCTCTATGTAAAATTCTTTTAGTGGATACTCTTTTGAACAAGTTACTACTATGTTGCTTATTAAATATTAACTAATGTATTTATTAAATAACAGTGAGGCGATGAATATGACTTTGAATTTCTTTTTTCCCCCAAGAAGATCTGCTCCTAATCACACAGCAAGAAATGAAATCATACTTAAAATAGAGTTGGCAGCTATTTTAGTTCTCTAAGATACAACTTTAAAATCAAGAATTCTGAAAACCTGTAGTATTAAAACCTAATATCAGAATTCTAACTAGGGAGCAACAAAGCAGCAGCTGCAATATATACAAGCGGTGAGAAGATCTGGCCTGGAGGTTTTTGGGGTCCTAAACACATTCTCGCCTCCCTCTTTATTTTGGCTTCTTGGCTAACCCAGGCGGCTGTGCTGGTCATATAGAGAAACTGAGCTGAAAACTATTCAAATATTAAGAAGATGTGTTTCACCTTCCAGTAGGACGATTTACAACAAAATCATTAGTAGATAATCAAGAAGTGCTGAGTATGTGGTCAAGGCAAGACATTGCTTATACTGTGTTTTTGTTTTATGTGTTTATAAAAACATTAAAATCTTAAAGGGGATGGTGTATATGAAAGTATTTTTAAAAATGAAAAGCACAAAGCACCTAGCAATTCAAAATGAGGCTGCCAGAGACTATCTAGTGACATAGAAAAACATTTGGAAATATTTTTAAAAACAAACTCTGGCCCTCCCTGGTGGCGCAGCGGGTTAAAGTACAGCACTAAGAAGCTAAAGCCACTTTCACATGAGTTCGATTCCCGGCTGCCCTGGAGGTGACCACATGGCGTGGCCAGACCTCTCCTGACCCGCCCACTGCTCCCCTCAGCAGTGTACTTCGTTGATCTGCCTGTTCTGCTCCCCACTCTGTCTCTGGTGAAGTCTTTCACCACCCCTGAGCCTCTAGCCTGTACCCCAGTTCTGTATGCACAAATAAATCTTAACAAAAAAAACCCAAACTATCAAAATATTAACAATACTTGTTGCTGTATAGATTTTCAGTGATTCTTATTTTCTTCTCTTTGCTTTTACTGTGATGAATATGTATTAGTTTTATAATAAGGAAGAATAGTTAAAGAATAAAGGAATACACAAGGAAAAAAGTGTTTTTGCATATATGAAGTACCATAAATACAAAAGTAAGATTAATACAAGAACAAGGGAGTGACAATATCTTTGAGTAGAGAGCTTTCCTAGAGATCTCTCAAATCATATAATCTAGGCTTTCAATACTACATCTGAGGACTTGGGATGGCCTTTCAAAAACAAGCAACCAAAGGTTCCCTTGGCATGTTGAGTTAACTCTGGTCCCATTATTCAAAACCAATTTCAATTTTTACCTTATTTTTGTTCCCACTACATGACTATCCAACTGAGGATCAAGAAGTACATGATGTCTAGCTAGCATCTGCCAAATGCCAGCCTCCTCCTCTCACCTACCTCCACTGTTCAACCTTTTTCCCACCTCTCAATGAGAATGAAGGTGCTTATCACTGGGAGCCGAGGCAAACTCGCTTTGTCTCAGGAGATATCTAAATCAGACCCACAAGGGAAATTCCTCATCTAGGAGTCCTTCAAGACCAAAGAGCTGGTTGTTTTTTTTGTTTTGTTTTGTTTTTTAAATCAAGTCACTTTTGCCTTTCAAGGTTGCTAAAATCTGTTCTCCTTTCCTAAAAGAAAGGTGGGAGAAGGAACCAAGATAAAGATGATACTTGGCATAGTCAAAGGCTGGGACACAGAACAAACCACGCTCAAAGGTGAGTTTAACAATGAGCACACGAGTGGGTGTCATTTAAAAAGTCTAGAGAAAAGAAGAAGTGGGGGTGAATAAAAGAGGTCTCCATAGTCATAAATCCCACCAATAGTCACCAATGTAATACAATGAGAATCCCAGGGGAGGGCAAGTAGCTGTTTCCCAAAACTGAGCTAAGCTGTTCTACAGCAGAAGCCCTCGCAAAATGTCAGTCAACAGGCTGGAGAAACACTACCGCCCCATGATCTTTACCCACCTTGGCTGGATGCAGATCAACACCATACATGGACAGCCGCTTTGCATTTTCTAAAAACTGAGAATCAGCTTGTGCTGGAGATAAACCCCTTAGAAAAGAAACAATATCGTATCACTGATGAATGTAAAGCAAATGTAGCGCTAATGGGAAAAGGAGCATGTGAGCTTGGCGAGGTTAGGGTACAGGAACATCCTAGTTTAATTTACAGACCAGTAAGGAATAGGTAAGACAATCCTCTAGCTTTCTTAAGATTCTCTTAAAATAAACCTGTTTGTTGCAAGAAAGTGTGAAGCTCCACCTTTACCATTTTAACTTATAAAGTTATTTTTGGTTGTATGTTGGGGAGAAGAAATATCTGCAATGATGGGTATAACATAAATTAAGAAATAAAAAGGGATTTCCTCTTTGCGCACTAAGACAAATTCTTACTCCATAATTTTATTTCACCAGATTGAAAATCTGAAAATCAGAAATACTTGTGGTTTGTTTTATACATATGATAGAAAGTACCTATCCTATTCTGTCAGAATGTCTACTTCCATTCCTATTTATATCCCCAACTAAAAAGTACCTAAAGAATAGGATGATGCCATTAATCTTGAGATTCCCATTGCATTTCAGCACCTGATGGTTCAAATTCAAATTACATAACAAATGTATATTGAGCAGTACTGGAATAAAGCTAATAAAATGTTAAATTAAACACTGCATTTATTGTGAAGAAAAGTCACTGAATGTGGTCTGATTAAAAATGCCTGTTGTCAGGATCAAAAATGGAGGGGGGGGTAGTGAGGAGTGCACTGGACTATGGTGATGGCACATGGGTGATTTGGTGATGGGAAGCCCAAGGGGACTACAATTGAGATGGAAAAAGGCACAAAATGATGTAAAAAATAAGCTATTAAGAAAAAAATGCCTGTTCTCTAAAAGTTCCTTTCAAATCATTTTAGCCCAAATTTTATAAATGTCAACTTTGTAACATGGGACCAACTATATATTTTTAAGAGTTCATAAAATCCCTCCTTTAAAAACAAAAACAAACAAACAAACAAAAAAACAAGTATTTTCACACCAAACAGAAGTTCTCAAAGTACACTATGATATTTAAGTAATTAAGTAATCCGTAAGTAAACCCAACAGTTATCTTTTATGACTAGGGGAACTACTTGTATGTTTTGGTAACCAGCCCTATGTCTATTACCAATCACAATTATGATTGAAATATTGATGCCTTGTTACTGCCCTGGTTTTTTCAAATATGGCAATAAAAACAAAAGACAGAATTATAGATGCCAAAAGGCTTGTGGCATGATTCCACTGTATTCTAAAACTACGTTAAGAGTTCTGTTGCATAAAAATAAACTATTATAAAATTAAAAAAAAAAGAGTTCTGTTGCATTCAGCTGTGGGTATGCTTGTTTAAAGTGATGCAAGTGTTGAAGGATAAGATTGGGAAGGCAGAATCATTGGGAAGAATATTTTTCCAATAAATGAAAACATTTAGCTGTGTGAGCAGAGTCCCTTATATTATGGTTACAAAGACAATGAAAGGCTATCTCAAAGGCTGCAGGATGTCTTGATTAATACTGGGTGGAGCTTCAAAAGGAGAACTGGACAATCCTATAAACAGTGTTCAAATGTCCAATAAGTGCTGTAAAAGAAGCTACTAAAATCTACCAAGGCCCTTCCTGCCCCAATGAGCACACCTGTGGGTTTTATGCAGCTCTGCTACTTTTTCTTCCAGCTCCTTTGTCTGGGTGGGAGCAAACTCGAAGTCACTGAGGTCATTACTGCCATGTTCTTCAGGGTCATAGTCCCCAAGTTCAGCCTGCAGAGTGTAAGATCCCAGCAGAGCGTGTGTCACAAAAGAGCAGGGCAGGCGGCCAGACACAATGTCCTGCCGAAGCTGAAGGCACAAGTAGTATCTGTGAAGAGCAGAGGCAGAACAGTTAAGAGCATAGCATTCACGATCTTTGAGTCCCACTATTGCTTTGAAACACACACACACAAATACACCAGCTCACACAGCAAAACAAGTCTTCTCTAGTGAGAGCCTACCTTCTGTTGATGACTACTAACCCTGTGACTTAAATCAAAGAAATTGAATCTACCAGCTTCATAGAATGGAAATTCTGAGCCACTGTTCTGGAAAGAGTGCATTGTTACTATTACAATAAAGAGTTTGTGGCAGAGATAAAAATTCCAATCATTTGGAAGATCCTTGGATTTAAAACTGTTAATCAAAATTAGAATATCATTCAAAAGATGTGAAGATTATTGAGAGTTTTTAAAGAGCTCAAAATCTTAAGCTTCTATCAGAAAAGCTAAGGTCACCCACCACTTATTCGCTCTAGTTTCTGTAAGTATACACAACTGAGCAGTTCTCCATGGCTTTGTAAATAGCCTTTTAATATAAAAATCACCCTTACAAACCTCCTCTCACCAAAGTTAAGAAGTCTTATAATTGAACAGGACAAAGATACCAAACACTTGTGGGTCTAAATGTTCCTTGACGCCCAAATATACTCAATTACTTTCAGAATCAATACTCTCTTACTTCTTCCTGAATCTTTATTTTAAAACTTAAGCATATTTATAGCTAGTACAGTCCCAGAAGAGATGGAAATCAACAGCTACTGACTTAGGTAAGAAAAGCCTACCTTTTCAATTCACTTTTAAAAACACTTTTGTTTCTCTCTGTCAATTCTAATTTGTAATACAATAAAAACCATTGTGGTATTAAAAATCAGATATTAAATATATCATAGTTTTGAAAAGTTGTAACATAGGAAACAGTTGCATTATTCAAATACAAATGCAGAAATTGAATTGTTTTAAAGATTTATTTATTCATTCATACAGAACTGGGGTACAAGCCAGAGGTGCAGGGGCGGTAAGAGGATTCACCAGAGACAGAGTGGGAAACAGAACAGGCAGACTGATACTAAGTACACTGCTGAGAGGAGCAGCGGGCGGGTCAGAAGAGGTATGCCACACCATGTGGGCACTTCCAAGGCCAGGGATCGAACTCACACTGAAGCGGTTGCAGCCAGCTTGCAGTGTGCGTCCTAACCTGATGTGCCACCAGGGAGAGTCAGAAATTAATTTTTTTTAAGATTTTTTAAATTTATTTATGCATACAGAACTGAGGTACTGAGGTACATCTCTCCAGATGTGGAGAGATAGTGAGAGTTCACCAGAAATAGAGTGGTGAGCAAAACAGGCAGACCTACTGAAATACACTGCTGAGGAGATCAGTGGCAGACAGGAGAGGTCTACTGCACCATGTGGATCACCTCCAGGACAGCGAATCCAACCTGTGCCAGCTTGCAGTGCAGCTCTTTAACCCACTGTGCCACCAGGGATGGCCAGAAATTAAATAAATTTGAATAAAAATGTTCAAACTGGCAAAATTTCCAACTTTTTTTTTTTTTGGTATCCATTTTCAAGGAAACATTTAAAACACAACTTGTGAAAAAGTGTTTTGGTTTTATCCTAAAATTGCCAGTATTCCCCAGGGCACAGAAATGAATAAAAATTAAGATTTACTGTCAAATATAAATTAAGTACCTGGTGATATCTTCAGTCAGTTGAGAAGGATCAGGAGGATAAAACTTCACATTAAAGGTGAACAGCCAGGGCAGGTCTATAATTATAAAAAACCATGGTTATTCATCCAATCAACAGAATGACTGACCACTTGCTTTGATAAAACTTAAATCCAAGTAATTCCACTGGCCTGAATTCAAAATTACACTCAAAATTAAAAAAAAAAAACAGTATTTCTAAATAAAACGAGACAGCGTGTGCATGTGTTATTTCATCCTACATATTTAAGTTCTCACAATTGCTTTTATTTACAGACTTGAAAAAAAATTTCTTGACTCCTGTTCTCTTGTTTCATTATGTCATTTTGCCCTTTTCTCTCCATCAGCACACTCACTTTCTCTTACTTAGTCAGCTAATATTGAATGGCTACTCTGAACACACACACATACTTTTTGGTGGGTCTAGTCTCAAAACAGCATCATTCTATTAATAAAGTTACCACTGTTAAATTTAAGAAACAGATTTCAGTTCTGTTTTACATACATACATAGAATATAATGGGACATAGAGCTTTCCTGAATGTGCACTTGGAGGTGACTGCTAAGTAAAATCATTGCAGGATTTTATTTCTCAGTGGGTCCTCACTTGTTTTGAGGCACTAACTGTAGCACATGCTTGCCTTGACAGGACTACAGAGATCAGTTTGTATGTAACACATGTATTTCAAAAATTATTTCCAGTTAAAATATAAAAGTACCATTGAAATTTTCAATTTAACTATATACTATCATAATTTTTACCAACGTAAGTAGAAGTAGTCCATCTAGTTATGGATTGCTCACATGATTTTACTATTTAATAACGTTATGGATCATATATGATTTTGATCACAGGCAAGCACTAAATAATGTATTTATATCTATATAGTCTTCTATGCATTTGAGGGAAAAAGGCATATTTCACACAAGAACCAGGTTATTGGTTGCCAAAAGTATTAAGAATTAAGATTTACCTTTGATAAGTACCTATCAACTGAAAAGTACAATAAAATCACAACAGAGGCTGAGCTAAGATGGAACAAGCAGCTCTTTGTTCATTTTAATATAAGAAAGAGGTACAGACTTCTTTCTGAGGAAAATCATTTCCTCAGCCCACTTTCATGACAGACACAGTACAGGATTCCATTTTGAAGAACCAGCTCCACTAGTTTGAATAAGTCAAATACCATTTGTTACTGTTAACCTTCTTGCCAAACCACAAGGGCAAAAATCTTGAAGTAACTTAGAAAACTTCACAAATAATCAAGACATAAGACATTTTTCATAATCAGCAAGAGTTTTGCCTTTCCAAAATTAGGAAATCTCCATTATTCTCAAACAAGTGGCACACTGCAATAATCAAACAAAGCCAAAACAAAAATATCGGAAACAACTCAATGAATGTGACATCAATCATGTGTCAGTGGTTATCCTGTTCTCTTTACAGTTTGGCAGGTCTGATAGCAGAGAAAGTGAAACAACCAAGAATCTGCACCTTCTTGAATTCATGCAATTGCAGGGCATGTAACAGCAGGAGAAGGGACAAAGGAATCAATTCCAAGGTTTTCTGGTAATTTTATTCATAAGTTAAACATAATGTATTAGATCACGTATTCCATCTCTTTTTTCTTCCTTTTCCAGCTTGAAGTAAGCATAAATGGATGAAACACCAAGATTGTAAGAATAGACGGAGGGAAGAGGGTGCGGAGGGCAGGGAGAGAATGCATGAATGCTGGAAAGTCAGGAATCACAATCAAAAGACAGGTGGATAACTATCCCATTTGCCTGGAACTGTTCCAGTTTTAGCACATTAAGTCCCCCTAGCTTGAGAAGCCCTCAGAGCACTTTATTCTTAGCAAACGAGGAAGGTCACTGTAATCAAAGATATAAAAATAAGGAAACAAAGATGAGACTATAACGAGAGAAAATGGGAAGTAAGGTATATGCTAAAATTTAAAAAAAAAAAAAAAAAGAAGTGAGGAGGCTACCAAAAAGGATAATTTTTGAGAAAGGAAAAAGAAAACACAGGAGAAAAGCCTTGAAAGGGAGACAGAAGGTAGGTGGAAAGGAACAGAGGAGAACTATGGTATGTTCCAGCATTCCCTTGTTAGGAATAAGAAGTAAGGCAAAGAAAAAACAGAAGGCTTTCTGCAGATAGCACCCTGGGCCTTTCTCCTGGACCGCTCTAGGGCCAACAGTCCAGCAGAGCGGGTGAGAATTTCTGTCTGCTGTTTAAAAGGTCCAGCTGTTCATGGCTCCTTACCTTTCTGCTTTGATCATTCAGACCCTGAAATAAATGACGAGTAAGACCTCCTATGAGAAAACTGCCTGTGGTGATAATGTTTCTTGGCACAGATTCACAAAGCCATAGACAAGGCAACTTGCAGAGACTGATGTTGAGCCAGTGGGACACCAGCCGTCATGTGGGGTGTGGATGGGGGTTCAGTGGTCTGTGGAGGAGCACAAGTTGCCTTGGTGGTGGGTGTAGTGACACAGATCTGAAGAGGAGTGAACCTAAACTGCTGAATCCTATACAGTGCTATAATAACATTACCTCAGTTAAAAATAATAGAATGAAAAAAGTAAATGAACATCACTTTGCAAGTGTACAGTGAGAACAAATGGAGAAATGGAAGAGAGGGACAAGCAGGATTAACTACAAACATAGATTCTAACAGCACAACAGCACTGCTGGGCTGTCGAACAGAGCTGCAGAGAAAGCAATGATCTCAGAGGATGGAGAAGACTGTTCTGATGCTTTTCACCCTGAATCCTCTCTTCAGCACATTCGTGAACAGAGTATATATAGGCATCCAGGGCTAGAGGCATGCTTATTTGTTAAATTAATTATCCATTTCCAAACTTAAGACAAAGCAACAACTTTAGCTAGAGTAAAAGCTACATAAAAATAAGTTGCAGAAAACCAAACATCTCATTCCTTTTCCCAGAGAAAAAGATCAGTATTATTTCACAGTAATAGACATTGTGAGTGAATATTCAGGAATATGAGTCTAGAACCTGTGGACTTTCACGAGCCCCTAAGCCATGTACAAAACACTCATGATTGTATACAACTATGGTTAGTATCTCTGACTTCCTATCTGATCTAAATACAAGCTACAGCTGATCATTCCATCACTATTTTCATTCTAATATACACTCCTATAAATTCTATGAAGACAGAAATAGGGAGATGCAGATTAACTTAGTCATACTTCACAGTATGACCATTTTAATACTCACTTCGCAGTTGTCTCTTTATTTCTTTTGCAGGATCTAGCCAGTTCTGCAGAGAGAAGGGAAAAAAGGGTAATTAACCCATAAGAAACATTCCAGAGTCCAAATGGAACAGTTTATAGTTCATACTCATCTAAGTGTACACAGTGCTATTCAGAGTAGCTCTCACCAATTAGCATTCCATTGGGCTAAGCAATGATTTGTTTTCTAATGCATTTGTTATAAATAAAATATTAACACACTTTAAGCTCGATGTTTTGTGTCTTATTTTCTTGGATTTGAAATCAAATGTCTCTCCAAACTACAAGATATATTTACGTAAAGTCCTTATTTTATACTGTAAGTGCAAGCAAAAGCCCCTGCAGACAGTGAAATGAGACCTGAGTCAAGAACAGTAATTGGCTCTAACTCATGAGGTGTGGACTGGAAACCACCGCCTAAAAGAATATACACCCCAATTAATTACCTCAAGTCTTTAACTTAACCTCCTTAAGCCTTTTCCCCCTCAAAGTGCTCAATGTTACGAAGTATTGTCCAAATCTTCCTTCCAATATCTTTCTTCCTGGTCTTAATGTAAATAGCCCCTTTTCTTTTTAACTTACTTCTTTACAAGTTGGAACTCACAATCCTGAGGAACACCCTTTCATTTTCCCCTGATTTCTAGCCTTAAGAAAGTAAACATAACATGATTACGAGAAACCATTACAGTATCTTAAAGCAAAATGAACAACATTTGAATCACTAAGGTTCAAACTACCTAGAGGACATAGTTTTGACCTCCAAAGCTATAGGTACAAGAGCCATGCAGAAACAACTCATATATGTGGTTCTATATGCTTTGTACCTTATCCTCAATTCATTATTAAAATTCATCTACTTTCTTCACTAAGGTGAGAGAGCAGATACATTTCTGGAAATATAATAAAGTGGTTCAAATAATTGGCTTTACAATAAACTCCATCTGTTCTAAAAGTCTCCCAAATAACGTATTATAGCATCTGTGCTTAGACATAATTTGATTTAGAGCAAATAGTTTTAATTTTTATATTTAAAAAATAATCTTGTATCTTCAAGATACACTGAAATGGTACAATAGTAACATTAACTTCCACTATTAAGAAGTAGTAACAACAGAACGTTTTGAAAGTAAAGCTGCATGGACCCCTGTGGGTTTTACTGCCCCCATTCAAACCTGCGACCCCATATTTAGAGCAGCAAAGTTCCAAGGTGTGCACGGCTCTGTCCTAACACTGGTTATATTCAAACCTCTCAATAAAAAACTACCAGAGCTTGTCCACTTCCCTATTACTTGTGTCCCAGCTGCATGGGCCATTGATGTGAAGAGCCAGTGGGACCCCCTCATGGTAGCACAGTGCTCTGTCGGGAAGCAGCACTAATTCTCCCGTCAGAAGAGAGCCTGGCATTCAGTTTCTGTGTGCCGCAGCTGCTGCCCCACAACAGCTGGCTCACAAATGGCCAACTATGACTGGCACATAAGAATGGAGAAAACACGTCAGTTTCTAGCCCAGACAGGGGAGGGGTGGGTGCAAGCAGGAAGCTCAAATGTGCTGTGACACTGCATCCAAGAAAAGAAAGTAACAACCACAGCAAGTAGATGAAGAGATAACTGGTACCAAACTGGAAAAAAAAAAAAAAACAACCTCAGAAAATTAATACAGAGAAAGCACGTAGGGGAATCTAGTCTTAAATACTAGGAGGACCCTTTCCACAGCTCCAGTTTCACCAGGTGACAGGTGGTAAAGATGTCTGCTACAGAACAGCAAAGTAAGACCCTAAGTCTTCTAGGAGAAGATGGTAGAAGTAACATTTTCTTCTGTGCATTCCACCCCTTTCCCACCCCCAAGGAATAACCCCATGCCCTAGCCGTTTGGTATCTTCTATGAAGCACAAGCCCTTGTACACATTACCCAAGAGTGTCTGCACAGTATAGAGTTGTATGAAAGTCTATACATGCATATGACAAGTTTCTGTGCACTGGCCAGCCCAAGTGAGGCTCACTGTCACTTTTGGGTCGCTTTCCACAACTCTTCCAACCAGATACGAAAAGACTGAAGCACTTTTCATCTTTACTCTAGACTGCTCTCCAAAGTAGACAGTTTACATGATGTGACATGCGACTGAGCAGCAGCAGCAGGGACTCCTTCCATTCATCTACCTGGGTTTCCCTTTACTAACCACACTCATTCCACACTCAGAGTCCCACGCCCACCAAGGAGTAAAGAGTTCTTCCTCTCTCCGAACTAGAGCTTTGTAAGGACCAGAGCCATACTGAATTCTCGTATCTTCCATACAGTACTTTGTACTTTCAGGCAACAGTAAGTACTAAATTAATACCTGTTAACTGCTAGCAACCTATTGCTTGCCTCATCCCTTCGCATGTTGTGGTTAGCTTAAAGAAGATCTTTATTGAAATAGTTCCAAATGATCAATGGATACTTAAGATCATGGACAGACATAATTTTACTACCTAGGGTGATAAACTCAAAAGTTAAAAAAAAATAAAAAGACTTAAAATGACCCTTAAAAATATAAATCTTTTATCTGCAATGCTTACAAATAAATAGTAGGCATAAAGCTCCAACAAATCAATAAAAATTTTGATATTGATATCTGGCAATGAGTAGATCATCTGGGTAGACCAGGAAGCACACACAATAAAGAAGACAGTGTGAGAGAATGACATGTATGCACGTATAAGTATTTGCATGTATGTACCCAGACATAGCCTGTGAGAGATTAGTGCAACAGCCCCATTTTTTCCTAAGATTTAGCTACGAGACATACACATTTTAGTTTCAGAATACATGGAAATTTAGGCTTCCCACCAACTCTGAGACATTGGGCTTATTATCAATGTCCTCATCTGAAAAATCAATCATAATACCAGTATCTTGGTATTATAAGTATAAAATAATACTTGTTTTTAATCAATTATTCATTCAAATGATTCCTGAAAAGAAATATATGTGAAATGTACTTCATCCCAGAGCCTTTGATAGAACAAGTATTTATGTTCTTAATGAACACCAGATAAAATAAATTAACAAAAGTTACAAGAATCCTATAACAGGCTTGCAATAGAAAAAAAATTAAAATATGTTTCTAGAATGTCAGTGTCATTAAATCTCATTAGAGCATGAATTTGAAATTTGATGAGTCACTTTCACAAACCTCAAATTGAAACTTAACATGGTCATCAACTATGAATGTAAAAGGAAACACCTGTGTTAATATTAGTAGTACTTTTTAACTGTGTCAAAAATATTTCCACCATAGTATAGTCATTACAGATCTTTATGTATCATTTATGCTAATCAGTATTTTGATTATATCTAATAGGGATTAGACTAGATACCAGTAGATGTCAATAGAAAAGCACACCTATTACTTTATCCAAAATCTGTAATTAATACTTGGAGAATGTTGTTTATTTAACTGGCTTTCTTTATAGGCCTGTACATGAACATATTTATACAATTAAAATTTATACTGTTGTGAGGACCGACCCATAATATTCACCAAACTGACAAAAAGGAATCCGTGGCCCAAAAGAAGGTAAAGGCCTGACAGAGAAGTTAATGGAAATTTTTAATTAATTAGCAAAGCAAATAACTAGCTATACACATATTTTTTTAAAAAGATTTATTTATTTATGCATACAGAACTGGGGTACAGGCCAGAGGTGCAGGTGCGGTGAGAGGATTCACCTGAGACACATTGGGGAGCAGAACAGGCTAACTGACAAAGTACACTGCTGAGGGGAACAGTGGGTGGGTCAAGAGAGGTCTGCCCCACCATGTGGGTCACCTCCAGGGCAGGGATCAAACTCATGCTGAAGTGGCTTTAGTTTCTTATTGCTGTGATTTAACCCGCTGGGTCACCAGGGAGGACCCATATACATAAGTATTTTTACACTATCAGTTAATCAGAGAGGATATTTAATCCTACTTTCTATTTACTATAAATCTGAGGGCAAAAGACAGTTAACAAAGTTTTCTAGCATTTTCCTATATTTTCAATATTGATTTTCAGAAAGTGTTAAAGACACCTCTCTTTTAACTTCTAACAGAAACCTCCAGAAAACATATAAAAGCTTTGTATTTATAGGATGCTAGTATTAAAAAAAAAAAAAAAAGTGCCAGAGACTGTATGTTACAAATTTCCAAGCTAAATAGCTGTGAATATTTGAACACTTCTGGAAAAACTTGAGGTTATTAGGTCCCTACCTTCCCTGGCTTTTATGACATCCCAAATTCATATAAATTTCTGCCATTGCAAAACACACTTTATCCCTAGATCAGTGCTTTTCAAGATTTCATGATTTTATGAATCACACAAAGATCTAGTCAAAATGCAGATTACAATTCAGTAAGCCTTATAAGGAAAGGAAATTCCTCATTTCTAAGAAGTTTCTAGCCAATGCCAATGCTACTGGTCCCTGGACCATCATTTGAAACGTTTCATCCTACACTTCTTTAATGGAGAAATTCCTATCTTTTCATGAAAGTCAAATGTCAAAACATCTTTTTCACGACCTTTAACTGGCTTGTCAAGTAACTGCTCACTCTTCACGAGTTAATAGTCTCACTGTTGATAGCCACCTGCAGAATGTCCAAGTAGGGCACTGCTTCTACCCTCCCATATCTAAGTATCTCCTTAATTCCTCCCCATGACACTAAAAGGTTGTATGAAAGATTACCACAACTCACAGACTTTTAATTCTAGTCAAGCACTAACCTATTTTACTTGATGGAGATGAAAAACCAGAGCAATCAACTTACTAGCAGTCTGAGTGTACAGCTGTGCATCATGGGGTCTCCAGCCAAACCAGGGCTAGGTAACACCACCAGATACTGTCACAAAATCCTTCCCCCTAAAAGTATCTCCCCTGCTCCCCTTTAGATTGTATCCTAAAATCCTAGAGCTAGAAGTTTCTCAAAATGCTTCCCCATGCATTCCTCACTGAGGCTCATCAATTTGATGAGAGGTGAGAGAAATTAACAAATTTAATTCAACCCTGTATTACTA